GCAACATTTAGGTAACGGACCGGAGATTTGGCAATGCATATTTCGTGATTTTGCAGTTGTCCTCTGGTGTGCCGAATAAAACACGTCGAAATGATGCACTTTTAGGGAGAGCTGAGACGCATGCTGCCAATGACGCCAGAATTGCTGTAAATCCAGGAATCAGGCAGTTGATGTTGATGACAAAGTGTCACTTTTGGACAAAGGGCACACTTGGCCGATGGTTACTATCATTCTTGGCCTAACAGCATTTTCGGTATTAGGCAATGTCTCAAATTCCATCAGTCTTCTTTTCGAAATGAGACAATTATGAAATAAGTTACTTGATCGAAAGTATTTTCATTAATATGAATCTTCTGAGCCAATCTTTGTAGTTAGAAGAGTTGGAAAGCAGGCTTGCGCCGTGCCCTCCAGCCGTACCTCGTCAGGGAATACCAGGGAAGAGTCTGGAAACGAACTCTGGCCACCTGATTGCGGTATGGGTGTGCGACCAGTACAACATAAAATACAGGATATTCTATCGGACTGCTCCATGTCACACCTATTTCTACTCAAACAACCCTGACTCCACCCAAAAATAATTAATTACTCTATCATGATCATTTTGGAAAAGAACAATGAAGATTGCCATTGCAAATAATTATTATCAAGAAAACCAATAGCTGAATTGAAGCGAGTGACTTTTCCTCTCATTGGGATTGACTAATCCCAATCCTCTGCAAACCAGAAATGAGAGTTTTATAATAAAAAGCGAAAAAGTACCAGATAAAAATGTTGTCAGCCTCAATAGACGAATTTCGTGGGACACTATCATTGTATTTAAATAAATAAAACTGTGTTGTTATTGTGCAGGAGTCATAATGAGTATCTTGACTTCATTTTGAGACTCGTAAGATCCTGAAAGAACACAACACTTAAAATGACTCTCATCTATAGGGGATGCGTTACGTCATCTGGGAACCCCCCCCCCCCCTTCCCCCAACTGGTTGCATGCACATTCCTAGCGAGTTCCAAATCGTAGCATTCAGTTGGTAGTTGAAATTTCAAACATCCGGCCATTGGATTAAGTATGATTTTGAGCCTTGCGCGGGATGTAAATCAATTCTATTGAACTGACCCGACCGCGGATCGGGCGAGCTGCTCGGTTGGCAATCAAAATTATGGCATACTCGCCTGCACCAGTCAAAATTATTGCTGGGTGCAGGCGAATATGCTCTCAGAGGGTCTTTTTCTCTAGCTGCTCACAGATGCTGGCGTAACATAGAGACTTACGAGAGCACAAAACAGGACAACACGAATGTGACGTCATGGGATATCCGGAAGCGTCAGCAGAACCAGCAGAGCCCCTTCGAAAAAGAACAAAACCAAGAGAGCGAGGGTTCTGAAGCTTCGCAACCCAAGCGGGCCGTGGATCGACCCGATTGGTTTCACACGACCCGGTGGGGTTAGCAAGGCTCGGTCCTGTGATCGAGCTTTGGGTCGGGTAGGACCACAATTCGAATCTGGCAAATCGTGTCGAGTTCGTAAAAGCCGACACGTGCATGCTTCCGTCGGACAGACAACATCAATAATTCCAGGTTTGGATGACTTTCGAAGAACACAACCAGCCGAATGTTGCAATAGATATTTCACATGAACATACAGTGATGTATCTTTCGACTGAGAGAGTTGAGGTAAGAGAGTGTAATACTGTACTAATGTGTTGATAATGGTGATTCTGGAGCAGAGGCAATGACCTAAGCGCCCCACTCAGGTAATTACGTCTGCTAGTTGTGCGATGACATTCCCAGGCATGCGCACCGTACTCCAGCTAGGTTTCCTAATGGTCTTGGTTTTGGTCTTGTATTCGTTGTTGCGGTGAGGCCCTTCATCGCGCAGGCATGGTTAGTTCGGCCAAAGGCCAAAAAGCGAGAAAGTCAACCGATTTTCGGAAATGATAGTTCACTTGGACTAAAAAAGGGTCGCGGCCTTCGATCGCGGATATTTTCTAGCCCAACTGACTCATCATTCCCCGTATAAGTTGACATTGAACGAATGCTGTTTACTTGATCTGGATTCATCCTGCCTTCTATGAGGTTAGTTTGGATTTATGGGGAAAATCCAAAAGAACTGGTGGAATTATCTGACAGTCTAGCATCCAGCTGACTGAGTCATTCTTTGGGCGAACTCTATCCCCATGAATTGAGCTGCGTGCACGCGCACGCCACTACTCACTTCCATGCGACCACTCCCTCATAGGTGATTCGGTTAATTTACATCAGTATGGAGCATCGATAAGGTGCAGGCACAAACACCCCAAGCCACATCGCAGCCCTGATTCTCCAAAATTCCAAGGGTGGGAAACGAAGAAGTGAATCATCGCATTATTTGGTCAATCGAGTCTTGCAACAACGGTATTTGCCCCTCAACCAGTATAATATAAAATGACTCTCGATCATCCCGCATTTTGGGATAATAATAAAAAACTCCAAGCGGTTACTGTGCTCGTCCTGTTATGATGAAAGGTTTCTGGGATGGAAATTTAGTCATCCATGGGAGTTTTCTGCTTTCCCCCAAAAGATCGGGGGTGATGTCTCGCAAACCGCAGATCTGAAGAAGTCGCCTCCTCTTTTTCACTGGAACGTTATATTCCCTGCAATCGCCTGGATTTTTTATTCCTGAATCCAAGATGGTCGAGAGCACTGCTTGGTTGCGTTCGTATGGGACACCCTTGATGTAAAGTTCGTCCGAGTATTTGTGCTGGAAAAATATCACCAATACAGGAATTACCTTAGAGCAGGCAATAAACTTCGTCTTTTAAGCAGTCGTTGCCATTATCGAGCACAATGACTCTACGGAAATTCCCTTTTTCAAACTCTTCTGAAGGTAATATATATTTATCCATGAAGAAATTCGTCATTTCGTAAATGAAGCCTGTAACTATTCCTTCCCGCTTCGTTGACGTAAGCATATAAAGATAGCTTCGGCCTAAGCGTCCGTAAGTGGATTAGACAGAGCCCCTCTAAATCGAAATGTCGACGGAAAATCTTTGCTCGGTCAATGAATCATTGGGTAGTGTTTGCAAATCTTCCTTTGTTACATCATGCAGGGTTAGAAAGTCAATGAATTCGGACCTCCCTTTCATCTCAGCTATTAGGTTATTTCGATATTTCGACAGCACATATTGTCGTTGGCCATAAAACAAATTAAGGGTGGATTTTTGAACAGAGCATTATCCGATAATGCAGCTTCATTTTGGAGAAAATGCATTATAAATCCGGTAAATAAAGCTGCATTATCGGATAGGTCTCTGTTCAAAAATCCACCATAAATCTCTTCATTTTGAAGCCAGATGGCTGATTTTTTAGCTTCAAACTGCAATTGTGTCACCCTGTAAGACAGCCAAAATAAACCAGAATGGGCAGCCTACAAAGAGATTGACGACTCGCCAAAAATGATGGCTTCATTTATTTTTTGACCCACCCTGCATACTTGATAATCAATGAATAATATTGCATTTTCATTACATACTGCGAGATAATTTCCCAAATATTTTCATCATTTCATATTCCCATAGTAAAAAAAATGTATTTGTTCTGCAAAAAATAATGGCTTTCAGAAGAAAGTTTGAGGGAAAAATTTATCATCTGAAGAAATCATGGACAACGAAGAGATATCTTATCCGTTTCCCATATTTTATTAAACCCCCAAGAGACACTTACATCATAGTGCATTTTCAGGGAACTATATTGGATCGAAAGGGACACAATTTTAATTTCAGGGTCATTCCATCTCAAATCAGGCAGAGGCCAGAGCATGAACTCATCCGATATTGCCGAAAATTTAAAATGTGGCACCCCTCATAGACCAAAGTAAGAACGCAAAACTTTGATTACGGGGATGAAGCCGTTACGGCACAAGAATTTGTTAAATATTAAGAAATTTCATCTCATCATGCTTATGTGGGTCGTAAACTTTTCGACCTAAACGGACTCAGCAAGCGCAATTGTTCTTTAAAAGGTTAGCCTTTTGAATTCATTTCATATTCTTTTTTCCTTGAGGCGATATTGAATGAAATGAAACTACATAAAAATTGCCAACTATTGGCATATTTAGAAATGTACAATACGTCCAAATGTTCATAAAACCCTATTATCATATACATGTGTATGGAATCAGTGGGAAAAGATCTAACGATATGCGTCCTATTGCACCCCAAACAAAAAAAAAATCCACATGAGGTGATGTGATGCCTTGGAAGGTGCAAAAATCACAAATTTTGCCAAAAAAAACCGTGTTTTCAAGTGTATCATGTAATTTTCTATGCAGCTCAAGAAACCTGAAAATTTTTGCAAAATGTATGCCATTCACTTGAGTAGATGAGAGGAACTTCAAGGCTCAAATGGCTTTTTTTACACATGCCACACATTTCATTCAATCCCTAAGAACGTATATGAGCAACACATACGGGTGTGTACATATCAGGGATAAATACAAAGGTGAATCTCTCCGCTCCCAACAAGAAAGATTTGAATAGCGAGTGAAAATGCTTTTCCCAGGAGAGACATTAACAATACCTGACAAGGTAGAAGAGCAAGAGCAAAATGTACCCATTAATTTCACACGCCAAGGAATGGGTTTTGAAAATTTTCTGGTTAAAGGGATTTGTTTTGATTCCACGTTTGCCCATTGTGAGGTGAAAGTATTGCCTGGAATATTGCAAAAAAGGCACCTAAGAAGACACATTCTTCAAAAATAATGAAAATGAATCATGAATGCGTTAATTGACGAAGAAGACGAAGGGAAAGAGAATAGATAATGCAGGCTGCAAAAAACATCCATGGAGAACCTGGTTCAAAATTATTTCGAAGAAGAAACCCCTTTCAAACAACCATGAACACATGTTGCAGTAGATTTGACGCAAAGGTGAAGTAGATGCACAAGAAGCAGACTAATGGTGCTCGTTCTTAAACCTCTCCAATTGTCCCTCCACTTGCTGCTCCAAATATGCAACTAAGTCTTCCCTAGTAGTATCCCGAGAAAGGATTGTCTTCATAAAAATTCTCCATGATTGCTGCGAAAAATTCATTCTCGAATGATTCTTGAAGATCTTCCGGCAATAGCATTGGAAATTTCAATTCTGCCACTTGAAATAATTTTGCAATCATTCGCTTCATCTTCAGCACGGCAGACCAAAACTCAAACATCAATTCATCGTGAAAATCCTTTGGCCTTTCTGTTTTCCCTCTCGGTCTTACTGTGGTTCCTCCTGAAGCTGTTTTGGAGGTTCCTACTGTCGATCGTCCTGTGGGGCCTACCGGGTCTCCTTTCACGCTTCCTACGGACGGTTTTCCTGTGCTGCTTCCCGTTGGTTTTGTGGTGCTTCCCGTTGGTTTTGTGGTGCTTCCCGTTGGTTTTGTGGTGCCTCCCATTGGTTTTGCAGTTCCTCCCGTGGCTCCCTTCATGCTTCCTCCTGACGGTTTTCCTGTGGTGGCTCCTTTCATTCCTCCTGTGGTGGCTCCTTTCATTCCTCCTGTGGTGTCTCTGATCATTCTTGCCTTAACTTCTCCTTCACCTCTATCTAGCCCTTCTCCTCCAAATCTGTAAGCAGCTTCTCCAAGAAATGCTTCTTCAACTCCGTCTGAATGTCCTGAAGCCGTGGCTGCACCCTCATCTGCAAGGCCAACTCCTTCCAAATCATTTATTTCAGCTACTGCTTTTGCACCTAATTCGTCAGCTCCACTTGTGACTCCAGTATTTCCTTCCACTGCATTCTTCACAAGAAGATCTCTCAATTCTCCAGTATATGCTTCCCCATACGCTCCTTCAAGTCGCACTCCTGTCATTGCTCCATTTCTTCCTCCGTTTCCTCTTCTTGCTCCGATTCGCTTCCTCCTATTTCATCAAATATTAATTGTTTATCTCACTTTCGGATATATCTTGGAAAGTGACAACGGTGAGAGCTTCGTGCCTGCGAATGATGTCAGGAAATGCGGCACGTCTCTAACGTTGTATTCCGACGTGCATCCTTTATTATATAAAGATAATATAGTAAACTCTAAGTTTACCAGAAGCACATTCTTGGAGGGAAATTAACTGTTTCTAATACTTTTTTGAAGATGTGCTTTAGCATGAGCTGAAAATCGGGTAGTGGGTGCCAAGAGATGCGTCCTGTCAAAGAAGTCGTCTTATCCTCAAGAATCAATGCAAATACATAATTTGCGATCTCTTGGAGATGAATATGTTTTCTTATTATTTAAAAAATGGTCACTGTCATTGAGGAACCAGCAGCATTTGCTTCTGAAAGAAAGACAAAGTGGTGAAAATCAACATGGAAATTTTAGTGACTCATGTTACTCGCGAAACTCCGATCATCTTCATGAAGTCGCAGAAGATTCTTTTGCATCGGTAACTGAGATTGACATATCTCATTTGACAGAACGCATCATGTCACAACCCCCCTGGTTTTCAGCTCTTATCTCAGTAAAATTTTCAAGAAATCATCAAATAGAGTGCATGCTGTATTAGAGAGATTAGAGAAATGGCCTTATTGGGTGCCTTAAATAATTTTTTAAATAAAAAGAATGCAGTAATAAATATATTGCTTAGTTTCCAAATCTTCATTGTCAAACCCTTCCATGAAAAAATTAAAAGCCTTGAAAATGCCATTGTCATTCTATTCAGTCGTCTACAGTATTCTCTCCCCCTTAAACAATTCGGAACATTCGGGAACCTTGAAGGCGAACGATGTCCTTCCATATTCGTTACTTGTTGGGTTCTAAGCAGTAGATACAAGTGTCCATGGGCACAATATTACGCCTGACTGAGACTTTCTCACTTCAGAGTTGGCAGAGGACAGGTTTTTCCATCTTCAAGAACGTCGTGCACCACACAATTGGTGCATTGCATGAACAAGTTCCCTTGCGGACGGGACATCCGTCGGTGAAACCTCGCGAGCGCTTGAAGAGAATTTCCCGATCTTTCTTCATCCCAGTGGAGCCCTCGAGAGACTCTTTTCCCCATTCTCGATTCGTCCTCCAAGCAGAAGACTGCGTCCATGCACAAGAAAGATACCATCAAGTATTTCATGACTGATGATAACGAAATGGCGGAAAAAAGTAAACTGAGTCTTTTATTTGCAAAACAATGTATCCTCCTTCCAGACTGAACGTGATACTTTCCAATACTTATTTTTAACATGAAGTTTACCCTCACAGGTGTACCAAAACTCGATTAATCTGCTTTCAGGTTTGTATTTTCACCATTAAACCAGAACTACAAAATATTCCTACAATGCACTGTTGCTGAAACGCAAGAAGTGCAGGACCCTAACGTCATGCTATCTAAATTAACACGAAGTTTCAACCGTTTCCCAACTATCATCGTCACCCTAATATGATGTATTGTAATTTCTTGCGTGTCCTACCACAGACCCAAGAACCTACTCAGCGGTTCCTTGCTCATTTATTACAATGCCTGGTGCACAACAGCACCCTGGATTTTCCATACAGTAAATGGCTACTCAGCAACGCGATGAATTATCGATTGCTTATGCGCCGAAATCCCAGTGAACTTTAAGAATCATGTTGCCTTAAAGATTCTCCAGTAGCTCTCTCTCGCAAAGACCAAACGTGCGTAATATTGTACGTAATATACTATGTGGCTATAGAGTCTCTGCCCATATCCGGTCTGAAAACGTAATGACCTATTGAGACTGAATATACGGAGAGAGACGAGAAAACGCGCCGCTCTTTGAAATTCATTGGAGTTCATTAGATAGAAATTAGCACTGCAATTTTTTTCCAACGACTTCCACTTATCCGCAAAACGCATGAAATATATATTTTTTTTTTATCCAGTCGTTTTAGCACTGGAGCGAAAACGCGAAGGAGACCTGAATTTTATTTTTGCGCGTAGAAAACATCAGCAGAAGAGTAATAGGTAGGCGTGGAGCGCACATATCTCGGGCCGGAGCTCCTCCTTCTCCCCATGACAATGATTCACTTTGCGAAAAGATGCGGTGGGCAGAATTTGCACGAATTTTTAGGTAATGGATGATACAAATGTAGGCCGGTTTGTAGAGATTGATTTACAAGCTGCGTGGAACCAGTTCATCTTAGAGGAAACAAAGCAGCCAAAAATTAAAATTTGCTGGAACTGTAGGAAGCTGTGGATGAAATCATTGTTTCTCAAGATGATTACCCTGGGATGCACAATTATTATATGAAAATTGCCAGACGTAAGGACGAGTCTGAGACCTGCCTGGTGATATCTGAAGTGCAAAGGAAAAAAAAACCTTGGGAATAATTGTCATTCCTCATGGGAGCGACAAGTCCGCCTGTTAGCGTCCAGTTGAGAATGTAAAAATGAAAGTCCAGTTGCTTTTGCAAAATCCTTCACATACCAAAACGGCTGGAGGTAAGCCAAAATATTCGAATGCTCAAAGAATGCGTAGGGCTGAGCATGAAAGGAATTTCGTTGTTCTAGTGGCTATTTCAGAGGTGCCATATGATTTCAAAGAGCGACGCATTTTTTTGTGTCACCCGGTATATGTGATGGATATAGGTTGCAAACAAGAGGTGAAGAGCATGATTGTTTTAAAGGGGCGATTTTGAAACATGCGATGAAATACTTTCAGACAGTTCCGTCTAAGTATTCTGTTCAGTAGATCAATTAGTAGTCATCCGCTCACCTCTTCCAACATGGTCTAAAATCTATTCAGGTTTCGGTGGTAAATGTCATTGGCTTGTCTTGTCAGAATGTACGGCTTGTAGCATAAGTTTCTTAAACATGTTCTTTCTATTTTCTCTTTTCATGAGTCCACTAAATATTTATGCTAAATCTGCTTACGTAGCAAAATTCGTAATTTAAAAAAATCATGTATTTTCTGAAGGCCTGAAAGGTACAAATTATCTATCAACATCGCATTGATTCATTCACAGATAATTCGTGTTTTAGAATATTTCCTTGAGACTCATGTCTTATAATTCATTAATTGAATGTCAAACTGGTAAATACATTTCTACAGGAAGAACCCAAGGAAACTAATGAAAGAATAAAGGAACTCAGGCAAAACCAGGAAGAAAGCGAAATTGAATAATGTTTAAAATGTATAGCAACCTGAAGCAAACTACATATCCTTCTGCGCTACTCACATTTGACAAAAGCTTGGAACCCGTTTTCAGGGACGAGCTCGCCGCCTCCCTCGTAAACCAACTGGCAGGTGCCATCCGTCTCCTTGAAGTTGAAGGCGTGGCACTGGAATGACGGCTTGTCCTGGGCGCATGCGGCGCTGCATTCCTCAAAGTCAGCCGAGATCTCATTTGACACAAATCCGTATCGGTGCCTGGGGTGTATGGACCAATACACCAAGGGTTGGAATGCAGATCCGACCCAGAGGAGGCTGGAAAGCGCAGCTAACGCCAAGAAATAGCCCATCTCCCTGTCAGGATAAGGGAATGCCATTAACACATTTGCATGATGTGTTGTAGAAGTCGCTGAAAAACAACTATTTCTCATTTCCTCATGAACCCATACAGTATATTCCATAAATCAAAACGTACTACGTACGTAGAGTCTTTTGGTCACTCATGCGCGATCGTCAATATATCAAATCATTCTAGTGGTACAGGAGCTTGTGAAAGAGTAGATCTGTGTCCTGGCCGGCACTGTCTCGCTATTATTTTGTTTCTCCGAAATATCGAAAGAACTGGACTATAAGTCTCGCTGCCCATGGGGAACTTTCCGCCTAGGTGCCCTTCTTACAATGAAACATTCACTTCAATAGAAACCTTTGCGGATGTCGAATTCAGAGTAGACAGAGAGAGTCGCAGCTCGAGGGCGCGTGTACAATGTTGCTAGGTTTATGCGTGAAATGTTGAATCTGGGATGGCAAACTTCATACTCTCCTCCCATTTCCATGCGACGCGGCCGTGCAGTCCATCGAAAATACATATTGATGACTAGGATATATTATTTATACCCATGTGGTAACAATAGTATTTGTCATTCATTTCAATATTTTATGGTTAGGATGCGACGAAAACGATAATTTCCCCCCTTCCCTCAGTTGCTCAGGTTTCTCAAGCTATTCCCGGTCTTCTTTGCTTATCATGTAAGTAGAGTTTCCTGGTATGCATAATCCAACCACCCAATTCAAACTCCTTACGCCACTGTTAATCCTGTTGACGTCATGTGTCAGCAAAGAAAAATTGTTGCCTGAGGCGGCAATTAAGTGAAATATGCCAAGGGGTTACGTCCCTTGGAAATATGCCAATTTCCAAGGCACGTGGACGGGTGGACCATCGAAAACACCCCCAGTTGTCTGGGCCTTTATACTTTTTACTATGTCCTACCTATGACAGCTGGTAAAAGAATCGGATCTAAGCTGATGCATGGATCAACGAATTCTGTCGACATCGAATTATAATGAGCTTATGTATAATAACGGCGACGCATATACGACATTTCTTTAAATGATCAAGTTCCTTTTACTGATATGAGATTACGTCTATATGATGATTCGCTTTGCTACGTCATATCGCGCTTCCTCTCACGTTTCGTCACAGTCATGTTTTATGTAGACTCACGGAATCAACACGTTTCGAGTTGAAGTTCCTTCTTCCTGTTCCTTCGTATTCTGCCAGTTTCTCTTCGATCACCTTACCAATGACAAAAAGAAACTAAATGGAATGAAAATATTCCAATATTGAGATGTCTTTGATTTCAGAACAAACCGGTTAAGGCAATCGCCCTCCAAGGCGAAATTGGTTCATGCATGTCAGATATTAAAGCGGCACTTCCGTCAAGCATGCCCTAACAATCACCATGGAATACCACGGAAGAACATGTTAATCCTAATGAAAATCACAGGCGGCTTATCATATATATGGTACTGTATAGTATAGAACAATGGATGGATGCCTTCGCCAGAAATGCGTCTGCCAGCTCCAAGGGTAGTCAGGAACCTGCCTTTTCCTGCATATGCACCTACACGGTCTCCAAACGACGCAGTATATCGATTCAGCTCCATTTCCGCGTCGAGGATGATTAATTGGTTTTCACCATATTTTTCTAGGAGCGTAGCCAGGACTTGGTCATAATGAAGGTGTTGCTAGGCGGAAAGTTTCACAACAATGGTTCATGAACTTGGGCTTTTTAAGTGAATTTTGACGTTGAGGTGGAATAACTATCCTCTTCAGCAACTCCCTTTCCCTTAGGTGCTCAATTTTATCAAACTATTCCTCAACTTGGTTGTTTATCATGTAAGTAGAGTTTTCTGGTATGCTTACTCCAACCACCCGATTCAAACTCCTTACGCCACTGTTTCTCCTGTTGACGTCATGTGTCAGCATAGAAAAATCTTTGCCTAAGTAACGAATGCGGCCTTGGCGTGGATTCATCGCCTTATGACGGTAAAATATATAATTGAAAAACCTCTGGAAGTTGTGAATTTTGGGTAGAAATATTTGATTTTATTGGGGATGTCCACGTTCCTATCTCTTGCCTCAGAACAAAAATCTCGGAATAACTTGAGCGACATTGGCGTGGTGTATGACTGAAATGAAGCTTTCCTAGCTTTAAAGACCATCGTTTCACGGAATATAGATTGCAGGCTTCCCCCTTTCTACACTCGCGGTACGCCCGGAGCATAGAGAGCGTGCCTCTTCCACTACTTTTTAATTTTCCCAGAATTAAATATCTTACATAGAAGACCTTTCATGAAATTTATTGATCTATTTTACCCATGGAATCTGTTAGAAAAATGTAATGATACATCTGAGGATCGATGAAGGAAATTTCAGCAATTTTATTCGTTTTCATTCTAATGTTTCTATTGTGTCAGTGTCATCTTCGAAGTTCTCTTGGGGAGAGGAGGTCGTTTTGGAAATAATTTTCCTGCACAAAATAGCGCACGGAATTCAACAAAGGATCGATTTCTTACAACGGAAGTAACTGAGGAATGCTCTCGTCCGAGTGCATGGACACTTCATGAACATACACTTCAATGAATAGATGAACTGGCGTTTACGTCCAGATAGTATATTCGCAAGGTTTTCGAAACTTCTTTCTGCTCAAGACGAAGAGGAAATATTCTGGGATATTTCCATGAGGGAGATATAAAATACATTTATATATTTTAAATATACATGTTATATATGTAAATATATGCCGTGATTAATTGGGATTCTTCAGCATTCCTTTATTTCGGCATTGTTTATGTCTGCAAAGAGACGCCGTTTCCAGGAAACAGAGTATGACTCAACAATATTAGATCTCCAATAGAAAATCATCAATAGCGCAATCGTTTTCAGTGAATGGCATTATCGTGCGTTTGATACTTTTCGATGGGGTGCTGGATTTGGAGCGCACAAGTTGCCCTACTCTCATTCCAAAACGCACACATAACGAGAACGTCAGGAGAAAGACTGCTTCAGGACAAAATTGCTCAGCCCCGAACATCTAATATTATAACGAGCAACTTCATTAAGCAAAAGGAGTCTGTAACGACATAATTCGAATGAAATGTGAAATTTTAAACATCACGTTTGACAGGTGTTTTCGGAAGTCAGTATAGGAACTTTTTCACTGGCCTTTGTACAGTATTTCTTTGAAGATGGAGAACCTCTAGAAGGACAAGCACGAAAGTGAGTTTGTTAGGCTTCTACCTCAGGCAATAAATATACGCTAAATCAAGCCCTTCGTGGGTGAAGGAAAAGTCTGTAGCACCAAAAGACTTCCGAAAGAATGGGGGAAGTGATGGAGAGGCCCATCAAAATAATTATGGATTTGATTCGCGAGTATTACAGAGGGCTGAGCTGGCTCAATCAATGTCGCAGTAGCAGGCGGCATTCGTCGAATAAGGATAGAAATGCTGGCGCCACGACGAGATGTTTTGAATCGAAGTAGTCTCCGGTGTCCATCGCAATCAGCTCAAAATGTTGAGCAAGGAAATGACATTACATGGACTAGGAAACGAGAATCCTTTTCCGGAGAATCTCTTAACAACGTCCTACATGTGTACATGCCAATCCCATAGGGAAAATGGGAAATATTGCTGAGGGCCTAACACTTCTTTTCATTCCGTTTGTTCCCAGCAACCATAGCATTCAAACATGACTCATGCGCCGCTTTCCTCCTGTGTCGGGGAACCCTTCCTTTAACTTAAACATCCACTTCCATTTCATCTCGCGCTCTTGAGGGATTTATAGTAGACAATGGGTGAGAACGACTTCTTCTAGCAGTCGCGGTGACAGGGTTGCCAGGCTCACACGTGAGATGTAGCAATCAGGCATCCTAAACTTCATTTTTATCTTCTCATTTCCAAGGGACGTGGAAGGGTGGACTATCGAAAATACGCCTAGTTGTCTGGGGCTTTATACTATTTACTATATCCTACCAATGACACCTTGTATCTATTCCAATGTTGGATTGTCAGGATTCGACGAGAGGTTAATTCCTGTTATATTCCAATAGTATAGAGGCCATTGTAATGGCAGTTCTTTACCTCGACAACAACTCTACTTTGCATTGTGTCAAACTTTGTTCAAATGTGGTAAAAGAATCAGATCTAAGCTGATGCATGGATTAACGAATACTGCCGACATCGAATTTTAATGAACTTATGTATAATAACGGCGACGCAGTTACGATATTTCTTAAAATGATCAATTTCCTTTTACTTTCATGAGATTACGTCTGTATGATGATTCGCTTTGCTACGTCATATCACTCTTCCTCTCATGTTTCGTCACGGGCATGTCTTATATAGACTCACGGAATCAACACGTTTCGAGTTGAAGTTCCTTCTTCCTGTTCCTTCGTCTTCTGCCAGTTTCGCTTCGATCACCCTACCTATCACAAAGAGAAACCAAAAGGAATGAACGCATTTTAATATTGAGATGTCTTCGATTTTAGAGCAATCGGGTTAAGGCAATCGCCATCCTGGGCGAAATTGGTTCATGTATGTCAGATATTGAAGCGGCACTTCCGTCAAGCATGCCCTAACAATCACCATGGTATACCAGGGAAAAATATGTTAATCCTAATGGAAATAACAGGCTGCTTATNAGCTTTAAAGACCATCGTTTCACGGAATATAGATTGCAGGCTTCCCCCTTTCTACACTCGCGGTACGCCCGGAGCATAGAGAGCGTGCCTCTTCCACTACTTTTTAATTTTCCCAGAATTAAATATCTTACATAGAAGACCTTTCATGAAATTTATTGATCTATTTTACCCATGGAATCTGTTAGAAAAATGTAATGATACATCTGAGGATCGATGAAGGAAATTTCAGCAATTTTATTCGTTTTCATTCTAATGTTTCTATTGTGTCAGTGTCATCTTCGAAGTTCTCTTGGGGAGAGGAGGTCGTTTTGGAAATAATTTTCCTGCACAAAATAGCGCACGGAATTCAACAAAGGATCGATTTCTTA